GCTCTTCCTGTCTCCCTCAGTAATACTGAGCTTAAGGAGAATATCCCTACTGAAACGTAAAGCACCAATTCGTCGCCTGGTTCTGGTTTTGTTAACAGCGGCAATTCGCTCAGAAACTCTTTCAGTTTTTCGAACGCTAATTGTGCCTCGTCACTCCATTGAAAGGCCGCCTTTTTAAGCAACTTGAAAATTGGAAAACTTTTCTCCGCCGCTTGAGCAATGAACCTGCTCAGGCCAGCGATTTGGCCCATCAAGACTTGTACTTCTCTGATATTTCTGGGTGCGGCCATGTCGAGTATAGCCTTCACTTTGTCTTTATTTACTTCGATGCCTCTTTCAGTCACGACATAACCTAAAAACCGCCCCGCCTTCACCCCGAAAGCGCAGTTACTCGGGTTCAGCTTCATCCCAAATGTTCTCAATGTCTTAAATGTTTCCCTTAAATCTCCTATGTGTGAGATCGAGGACTTGCTCTTCACCAGGATATCGTCCACGTATACCTCCATATTTCGCCCGATTTGTGATTTAAACATTCTATCTATTAACCTCTGGTACGTTGCCCCCACGTTTTTAAGCCCCAAAGGGCATGACGACATAACAATATGTCCCCTTCCTTGTCACGAAACTAACTTTGCTTTGATCCTCGGGGGCCAGCGGAATCTGATGATACCCTTGGGACGCGTCCATCATACTTAGCAATTGACAGCCAGCCGTGGAGTCGACTAGCTGGTCGATTCTTGGCAAGGGGTAGTGATCTATTGGGCATGCTAAGTTCAAATCGCGAAAATCAATGCACATACGCCATTTATTCAACGCTTTTCTCACCATCACAGTGTTCGATATCCATTCAGGGAATTGAATTTCTTTGATATGTCTGGCTTTCAGTAACTTGTCTACCTCGACCTCGATTGCTTTATCAATTTCTACTCCATGATGCCGAAGTCGTTGCTTTACAGGCTTTTTTAGGGGGTCGACGTTAAGTTTGTGTTCCACGACATCAGGGTCGATTCCCGTTAATTCTTCAGGGAAAAAGGCAAATACGTCTCTGAATTCTTTCAACAATCCCACCAACTGTTTATGCAATTCATCCTCCAACTCTCTCCCGACTTTGGTGGTCTGCTCCTCTCTTTCCCCGATTTGAATTTCCATCAATTCTCCATGCGGCTCAAGGTCACTTTCCCTTGGTCTCTTTTCACTCGACATTGGCTTTTTTCCTTCCTTTACTTCCGCTCGTTGGTTTGTTTTCACTGCTATCTGGTAACAAGTTCTCGATAGCTTCTGGTCTCCTCGGGCCTCTCCTACTCTATCCCTAATGGGAAATTTTAGCTTCATGTGATAGGTCGACACCACTGCTTGGAATGTGTTGAGCGCTGGCCTTCCCAGAATCACATTATAAGCCGACTCAACTTCGACTACAACGAATCTCACCATCTTTACCTTCCTTAAGTCACCTTCCCCCAGGACGACAGCAAGCGTGGTTTCCCCTAGGGGTGCGACTTCCGAGTCGTTAAACCCAAAAAGTGAGGTGTGTAGGGGCGTAAGCTCGATGTCGAGTTCCATCCGTTTGAGACAGTCGTAAAAGATCACATTTACTGAACTTCCTGTGTCGACAAAGATCCTCTGTACTTCATAGCCTGATATTTGAGCAGTGATCATCAAAGCATCATTGTGAGGTCTCTCGGCCTCTCCCACATCTGCCGGCCCGAAATTCATCACGGGACCGTTCTCCTCGACCTGCTGCACTTCAGCTTTTCCGTGGCGGCCCCGAGCATAGGCCTTTCTGGCTCGATTTGAGTCTCCGTCAGTCGGCCCTCCGAATATCATATGAATTATTCATCTTTTCTGAGGAAGCTCCTCCTTGTCGGGTGTTCTCGCCCTCTTGCGGGGGCTCTTACTTCTTTCCCTTCGCCGACTAGTCCTCTCTCGATCCTTATAAATGAACTCCTTCAAATGGCCGGCCTTGATTAGTCTTTCGATCTCATCCTTGAGGTGTCTACAGTCGTCAGTGTTGTGCCCATAATCCTTGTGGAACCGACAATACAGATTGCTTTTGGGCTTTGTCGGTCCATCCTTCCTCGTCCGAGGCCATCTGACGACATTTTCGCGGATCTCTTTCTCTATTACCTACAATATCCTTGCGTTCGAGGCCATTAGGGGGGTATATTGAGTCGTCCTCCACCCCTTTGATCGCCCCTCCCTTCCTAACTTCGGGGATCCCTTCCTTGCCACCGCCGTGCTTGGTTTTTTATCCTTCTTTTCGTCCCGGGATTCAGTCTTTGCTTTGGCTGCTTGCAGAAAGTTCGGCTTCGGCTTCCTCGACATTCATGTATTTGACATATCTTCCTAAAACCTCATCAAACGTCCTCCCGGGTCATTTTGCTAAGGAGTTCCTGCACAATCCTGGGAGGAGTCCTCTAGTGAGTCCACCCAACTTGATTTCCTCAGTGGCCGAGGGGACGTCGACGAGCGCCCGCGTGTATCTCGCCACGTAATCCCTCAAAGATTCTCCTTCCTTCTGTTGCATGCCTATCAGAGTAAGGTAAGATTTCTCTTGGGCCTTCACACTTGCAAATTGGTTTAGAAAACTCGAGCTAAATCCGTCAAAGTCCCTGACGGCTCCCGGGGGCAATTGATGAAACCAGTCTTGCGCACGTCCCCGCAGAGTCGTCAGGAACGTTCGACATTGAACAGGGTCATTGTAGCGGTGCAGTACTGCCATGTTTTCAAAACTCCTATGATGTCGGGAGGGATCAGTCGACCCATCGTACCAGATGTTAAGCTCTCTGAACCCCTAAGGCAAGTCGGCGTCTAGAATATGTTGCGAAAGGGGGTGTCCTCTCGAGCTCCCCATTTTTCTCCCCTAGACTCGAGCCTGCAGATCTCGCACCTGAGCTAGCAACTGCTCGAGAGTGTCGTTCCTTGCTTGTGGATTGACAGTTCTGACAGAAGACTCCTCTTCGTCCGCCCTTCTATTCTGTCTTTCGTGGGATTGGGCTTGCTGCTCATGCTCCGGGGGAGGCTATTCGATTTGAGGTTGCTCGACCCTTGGCCGGTCGATTCTGGGCTGGTCGACTTGCGTCTGTTTGAGTTGGGCTGCTACTGCCTCTGCGATCATACTCTGCATCTCGCTTCTCGTCATGGTTAGCGTTTGCTCCTCCACTTGGTGTGGCGGCCTTGTTTCCTGCTCAAGTCGCCCAGGCTGTCTCCCCAATCTCAGAGATATTTCGGTCGATGCATGACCATCAACTTCTCCGCTCGTGTCCTTCACGTGACTGGCCTCCCCTTGAGTGAGCACTGGGACCTTGACTCCAGGTGGAGTGATAGGTGTCTCCTCCCCTATACGCGCTCCTGACGGCGCATGTGCTCCGAACGGTGGGAAACCAAGCACTTGGAGAGGTGGCCTAGGGTTGGGAATCGGCGGAGGTCGCTTGTCAGTCCACGTTGCCCTGAAATCCTCATTCAAATTCTTCTGCAGTCCTTCCTTCTCAGTCATCAGAGACAGATCAAAGCTAGGTGTAAAGCTCTTAATTCCTTCAAGAACTCCCCACAGACGGCGCCAAAATGATGGGTCTCCTCTCAGATCTGGAGTGAACCGATGGAAAACAGCCCAGATCTGAAATGAACCGATGAGAATGAGCTCAGATCTGACTCGATAGCCTCCAAACCGTTGTTGAACCACGAGAAAACCTGCAAGAACTCAACGCCGGAGGGGTTTCCGGCGTAGAACCTCCGACGCTCAAGTCAGTATGTGAAAGAGAGGAAGAGAGCTGCTCTGAGAGAGCAGCAGCAGTAATGGAGGAGAGTATGGAATGAATAGGAGTTAGGGTTTTGGGGTTAACTCAGCTCCTTTATATAGAAGCAAGACACTTACCTGAAGTTCCCAAAACGTCCTGGCCGACTTACCTGAAATGCCCAAAATACCCTGGTCGGTTCACATTCCGCTCCTCTCCTAGTCAGCATTTAGATTCCTTCTTATCCTTATTAGCTTCCTTCTTATCCTTGACAGCTTTCCTATGATATAACGAAGTGTATCGAATCGCAGGGGATCTATGAGCCTCGGGACTTCCCCAGTCGACTCGGGATGCCGACTCGAGTCGACGGGGTCGTCTTCAGTCATCGGTAGACCCTGATGCGCTTATCCGTCCTTCCAGGGAAATCGACTTATTCTAGTCTACACGCGGAAGTCGACCGAGAGACGCCTGGACCCCTGACCCGAGATATTATAAGGAATTTGCGGAGAGAGTCGACTTTGGTTAAGTCGACTCGGTAATCTCTGAACCGTAGATAGTATAAACCGATATGCGATAGTATGGCTATATCAAGCACTATGCCAGGAGAATTGTCAACAATGACTTCTAACTCCATTTGCAATGGACAAAATAAGCATATTTACTAATAAGCATAGATAGAGAAAATAAAATAATAGCCAAAAAAAATCTCATTTGTTATAAACCTGAACGAAAACAGCCAAAGGCATGGCCATTTTACCAAATTCTGCATACATATATCCTGCTAATTTCTGGCAATTTTGTTCTTTACTTGTATACAACTGTAGTTCCTTTTTTTTTTTTTCCTTCTACATAAACTATAAACCAAAAGCAGTTTTTTCCTTAACTAGGAATGAAATGTAGTCCTTTTAGGTAACAACAGCCTTTAAACCTCAAAAAAAAAAAAAAGAAAAAAAGGTTCCTCCTGAATGAAACCAGAGCCTGGAGCCCTTCCGTTTTGCCTGCTGAGAGAGCACGCCCACATACGGAAAAGCAGAAAAAACACCAAGACCAAGTTAGTTGCATCCTTGGTGAGGTACATTTGTCGAACAAATAAATTCAAACACAATTTGCAAAAGATGAAACACTTGTGTGTGTGTGTGTGTGTATGTGTGTGTGTGTGTGTGTGTGAGAATTAAGTCAACTTTCCTTGGCTCTTAAAAAGACATGGACAAATAAATACCTTCAAAAAATCCCACGCTTGCTCAAAACTAACACCCGCCAGCATCATTCTCAGTCGCCCCCCTCTCCACTGCTCAGCCCCTCACCGCCATCCTTTGGCATCCGCTCCAGAAGCTCCATCGGCAGAGCCGCCGGGTCGAGCTCCACACACCCTTCCAGAGCCTCCCCTCTTGCCAGCTGATGATGTGGCACCTGATGTGAAAACCGCAACATCTCCTCCCTCGTTATCCGCTCTCCATCCCCACTCGGCCGAAACACCGTCCTGTACCCAGCCACCTTCACTAGCCTGCTCACAGTCACACCACTCTCCCCCACCTCCACCACCGACACCACATCGTACTTGTGGACCACTTCCTCGGGAGTCTCCGGGCCCCACTCGGGCGACCAGTTCCTGTACAAAGCCCACGCATCCCCCTTTTCCGGGAATATCACAACAGCCCCACGCGGGCCCCTCGTCCAGCACCTCACTCTATGAGAGAAGGCATTGACGAACCTACACACCTCGTACTTCCCCACCCGGAACTCCCCGCACGTCTTGGAAAACCCCGACCCGACCCAGTCGAGGGGCCCGAACTCGGAGGTCGTCTTCGAGTTGAGCCAGCTCATCTTCAGCTCGAAGGGGCTCCTCGACACCACCCGGTGGACCATCGCGTACAGACGGGGCATCCCGTCCTCATCGTCGTACGTGGCCCACACTTCGTTTCCCGCGAACGACCGCTCGGACCTGTCCCGGTCAAAGTTGTAGAAGTCGGGGTCCGGGACATTCATAGTTGCCCCCGAGTATTTCTCGTCCATGCTGTCATCCCCCAACTTCGTCCTTTTGCTCGGTCCCTTGTGGTTGCTTCTCTCCATTTTCTTTTTCTTTCCGGCCGCGGTACCCACCGGACTTCTTTTCTTCTTGACTAGTTGCACGAGCAGCCCCTGGCCGCATGACTTGCGTAGCTTCAGCGTTCTGGCACGAGACACGGGTGTTTCGTTTGGACTCCCAAGGTCGGCATTTTGGTCCAGAGTTTGGCCATCCATAGGAACATTCTGGTCGGTTTGCCCAGTTCCCAAGTTTTGACCATTCGAAACGGCATGGTTTCTTAGGCTGGGACCATTCTGCACGGGCCGTGCAGCAGTTAGGTACGTAAAGAGATCCGGGTCCGTCAGTTCTGGTCCCCATTTTTTATGGTCCGAAGCAAAATTCTTTCCCTTGTTGCGACAATCCGATGTGGGAGGTGGTGGGGCTGCCTGGGACACGGACACGTTCGGGCCCGCTTCCGAGTTCAAAGTGTTGAAAGCATTATTCTGTCCCATATCAGTATCAGACAGTGGAGTAGGGGAATTGTTCACTTCAGATTTAACAGATGGTGGAGGGTTGTTGCCAGCGTTCGAGCAGGGCTGCCCTCGTCTGACTGGACGAGGTATCACTGTGGCTAAAAATGGCTTCTTGCACTCAATGCATAAGAGGGTTTTATCACGGTAAATCACGTCATACTCATACTGTATTTTACAGACACTGCAGATGGTCCAAAAGGTCTGGACTTTTGGACTGGACGAAGAAGAGGATGGCTTGGAAGGTGCCACCTTTGCATTTGACCTCTTATTTGGCGGTGTTGGAGCCGATGCTTTAGGAGCTGGAGGTTTTCTGTTCAGAAATTTTGCAAATGGGCTTTCCATGGAGGGTTCGGGCGAAAAGCTGTTTTGGGTTGGTGGCCTGCCATGGGCTGATGCACTGCCGGTTTGGGCAAACTCGCCGCCATTATGAGCCGATGAACCACCAGTTTGGGCAGACCAGCTGTGATAATGTGGCCACGGGCCACCAGCATGGGCCGATGAACCACCAGTTTGGGCAGACCAGCTGTCATATTGTGGCCACGGGCCACCAGCATGGGCTGGATATGTGGAAGGCCCTCGGCCACTAGCATGTAATACTGATGGGCCACCGGCATGCATAGGAGCCTGCATAGTATAACTCTTGAAGAAGTCATAGGCCAACCTCTTGGTCTTATCAGAGAGCACAGTCCATCCCTCGTTAATGAGCTTGAATGCGTCCTCTGCACCGGCCGAGCGGTTCTTATCTGGGTGCAAGATGAGGGCCAATTTCCGGTATTTTTTCTTGATTGTATCGTCATCAGCCGTGGGGTCCACACCGAGCACCCCATACCAATCGATGTGCCCGTTTATCTTCCTCTCGGCAGACATGTACACATCAAGGATCGTTACCATCTGCAAAATGCCGTCGAGCCCAGGATACAATGTTTGGGCTTTGAGAGCGAATTGTTTTGAGCCTGTGTAGTCCTTCTGCTCCAACATGGCCTCGGCTATAGATTTTGCTCGTACTGCTTCATCCTTATTGCACTCCATAGTTCCCAAATCAAGCACCTTATTTGAATGAAAACGGAATGTAGAATTAATTACGCAATAACTGGAAAAATCATGTGATGGGAAGCATGTCGAAATAAATATAAAACGTTCTATAAGTAACTATTTCAATAAACTGATTAGCGAAAAGAGAACTATGTTACAGAAGATGACGTAAACATCTAATGCAGAACAACATGAGAAATGATAATGAAAACCAGAAAAGATAATAAGAGATGCAGGATTTAGCTACAAAAGAACTAAAGAACACCAAATGGGACATACTAATATTGTTAATATCGTGACCTATTACTATATACATTGGATGTCGAGATCATAAGACACTAATTCTGTATCACGCTCTCACGTCGTTTTGCATGGATAGCTTTCTAAATGTTTCATAAAGTGTTTTTTCTTAAGTCGTCAATTTATTCAAATAAATATATAAAAGCTTATGGCTGAGCATGTGAAAACAATTTGTATATACGAACATACGATTATGAAATGCAGATAAGTAGTACTTCACGTATCATCTCCACTTCTGAAAATACGTATAAGTCTAATGCACATTCATCAACCATTTATCAAAGATTCTAGTCTGCCTATTACGCTGTACTACTGATGATAATAAATATAAACACAATCTGATACCACAGAAGAGAGATGATACACAAAACAGGACAGGAAAAGGATCAAAAGAACACGGCATAAAGATGTTCAGCTCAAGTCCACATTCAGTTCAGAATAAATGGTACTACTATCCAGTGGTAAAAAGTTCAAGATTTGCTTGCAGACTTTAGCTTCAAGAATATTAACTACATTATTAATCTCCAAATACTGAAATCGGCGCCAAGTTTTGCACGTTGACTAACAATTTAATATTTGTCATATTTTTTTACCAAAAATGCCTGAGGTCCTGATATAAAGATATGGTAATATGGACAAGCAAAATCTCATTTTGATAATATTTATTATGCGGCATCCTGAAAAGGTTGAATTTAGGGCATCTCCTTTAGATTGAGTTTTTTTCAAAATCATGATTTCAAACATTAATTATGCACGACATTTACAATGTAAGCCAAAAACGACCTTTTTTCGAACACGTATAGATTATGGACAACAATTATTTTGGATGCATTCGAAAATGGTTTACGCGAGATATTTTTATAACCGAAAAACGAAACTGTTTTTGGATGCATTTGATAACGAACATTGGTCCAAACCGTTAAAAAAGATGACGTTCCTCCCACACATATCGATAATGGGAGACTCAAAAAGAGTTTTAGGTCACATGCAGAACTAACAATCGGGAGCTTTTCGACAAATTACACGTGCTCAGAACAGTTTTTCGAAATGGACTCCCCAAATCAACCAGCCAAACTCCCTTAAAAAGATAACCGTGTTCACGAGTGACTCGAGACAAGTTTCACATGTTATCCACGAAACCAATGAAGGTGTTATGAAATGAACATCCAAGAATTGGTGCATAAACTCAGAGGCTGCATTTAAAAAACATCCAAATTCTATCGAACACTTCATAGGTCGAAAACCACACTAAAAGGACATGATAAGCAAACTACCGGAAACAAGTCAAAATGAAACAGAACAAGAGAGAGAGAGAAGACGAACGAGGAACAAAATCAACGGGAACACACACACAGAAAAGAAAAACATGCAGAGATTAAGACCACATTAATGAACTTGTCCAGCAAAATCCCCAAATCACGTTCTAAAACATCACATCCAACAGGAGTCAAAAATGGAAATGAGTACGATAACGAGCATAAACAACATACCTCAAACCGAAAGATAAAACCTCAATTTCTCAGAATGCCAGAGCTCTCCACCAAGAAATCTGTCTCATTAATTGTGAATTAAAAAAAAAAAAAAAAATTGAGGGTTTATCAATATCTTTTCCCACCAAATGGGGAGGGAAGGTATCAAAAACCCTCCAAGGAAATAAAGAAAATCTTGAAAAAATGTAGATTTTTGAGGGTTTTATCAGTTTCTTTTCCCACCAAATTGAAAGGGGTGTGGCCAAAAACCTCACC